CTTTGGTTGTCATAGATTTCTTCTAAAGCTGGGAAACAAGGCCATGTTTCTGTTTCAACAGTTGTTCTGAAGAGAACAAAGTTCAGGACTCATTTGAAAAAAACAACAACAAAAAAACCTGACTTTTGTTTCCCATCAGGAGTTAGAGATTTAGCTAACATCATTAACGATGAAAAAGAGAGAGAAAAAAAAATATCCATAATGTTCTTGCAATTTGGGAGAGTGGCAGTGAGCAAATTAAAGAAAAATATACTTTTGAAATATGTAGGGTTATACTTTCAGAGTACTAGCAAGCATTTAAAATAAGGATATTTCAAATTGAAAACAGTTTTTCTTTATTTATTGCTAAGGCTAAGACACTTGCCTGCTAACCAGATGGCCGGCGGTTCAAACCCACCAGCCACTCCTCGGAAGGAAGGTTGGGCAATCCTACTTCCGTAGTGATACTGCCTCGGAAACCCAAGGAGGGGTCGCTATGAGTCGGGTTTGACTCGACAGCACATAACAACGACAACAAGAATTAAGATAAATATGCAACATTTGGGGGCTATAAGGCAAAATTCTTTCCTAGTGAACTTTCTGTTCTTGGCCAAATCCAATTGTTTCTGAGCAATTTGAACAAGGTTTCTTTGACCACATACAGAAAAATCATTCATAAATTTAGGAAAACAGGCACCAGTGATCATTCTGTGACATAGCCCAGTGCTGACTAACACATGGGTCAGAACTCTGTGGATAAGTGCTCGGCTGCTAACCAAAAGTTGCTGCTCTGAACCTACCAGCTGCTCCATGGGACAAAGATGCATCAGTCTGTCTGTACAGATTACAGGATGTCCTATGGGGCAGTTCTACTCTGCCCCAGAGGGTCACCATGAGTCAGAATCAACTCAATGGCAACAGGTTTGGTTTTGGTTTGGTCACTGTTTTAAATGGGTCTAAATTTTTCATGTGTGGTTTTTAGTTCAAATGGGACAATTTCGGAGAACAAAGAGGTACTACTTACTGACTTACCTACAGACTTGTTGCAAAGGTCATTCCATTTTGCCTTCCAGGATTTAGAGACGAAATTTTGGAAGATTGCTATGCTATAGTCACACTGCCATTGGTTGTCAGCCAAGTCAACTTCCAAATGGGGAAGTTCTAGGGCAATGACCATCATTGGTTGGACAATGGTCAGAGCATTGCTGCTGAGATCCACAGCCTGTTTGAGAAGAATCAAAATTAGGAGCAATCTGTGAATAACATTTAGAGATAAAATAAGTAAGCTACAGAAAGGCATTATTGTCATCACCATAGAGGTAATATGAATTTAGCACTGGACTTAAGAGTTAGAGAATACTGAGTTTATATCTCTTGTTCTGCCCTTATCAACTCTGTGAACCTTAGCAAAATTGTTCAATCTCTATGAGCCTCCTTCCCAGGGTTGTTGTAAAGATTAAATGAATGTGAAAGCACTAAGTATGAGGTCTATCCTAGATGCCCATTTATTTCTCCTTCCTTCATTTCTATCAGTTGTAATTTGTACTGTTAGATAAAACCTGGAGCTCTGGTAGCATAGTGGCTAAGATACTTGCCTGCTAACCAGACGGCTGGCGGTT